AAAAATGTAATACAAGGCTCCTAATATATTGTTACAATATCAGTTGAAAAATATTAAAAATACATTGGCACAATTTTTTTTATAAGCATTTAAACATCGAATTTTGCCAGAATTTTTCAACATTTCGAAAATTATTAATCATCGTAATTAATAAATTATAAAATGTTCAGTTTTTATAGCTAAGGATTGTAAATTAAAAACAAGATTGCACATAAGTAGTTAATTCTCTTAAAGAAAAATCTAAAAAATATACAATCACAGTTTATTTTTATAGTCATTTTATGTTAAAATTTTAACGAAATTACATATTAAAAAACCTAGTTATTTTGTTGTGATTATATAATATTATTCGTGGGTACCTACTTGAAACTTCTAAAGTGTACTATTATATATCTATGATAGTATCAGGGTTTGTTATTGATGTTGATGTATAACGTGTTATAAGTACCTAATGGATATTGTGATAATGTGATATGATTAATTTGGAATTTATTATAGGTCAATTTTTTTTAATACCATAGATATGTATATAATTTGTCTTAAACCTAGACTGACATACCGTCTTCGCTCAGAATCGTTTTTCTTATACAATGATATTGTATCATTTAATTCAAATTTAATAGCATCCATTATACAGTGACCCACTTGTAACCTACTATACAGCAGAGCGACATCCACTTACCCACCTTTTTTATTTTCAGTATCAAAAAATAAAAATAATTTTTTTCCTCTTACACGTGTAGAGCAAGTGGCTATAAATTATATATAAAAAAAAAAATTAAAAATAATGATCAGAACAAAAGTTATTCCAAAAGTCAGTTCTATCTGTTACACTCTGTATAGCATAATTTATTGCTTGTTTAGACTAACTGCATGACTGATGAGTGACGACTGACTGATAAATGTAGAGCCTAAACTATAGTAGTTGTAGAATTTAATTTTTCATGATACCTATCTTCGTACCACCATGTAGGGGGTTACTAGAATAGAAATGATTTTCAAAAATTTGTATTTTGAAGAGGTACTCAAACAAGGCTTTTGAGATTTATGATGGAAACCGACACTTTTTTTTTTAATGATTGTCATTGATTACATTTTACTGATTACCTATAATACTAATAATATGAAATAATTAGTGGAATTAATATTTTTTTTTACATTATATAAATGGTTACTATTGATACTCGGGCAGAGGAGGTAAATGTATACATCAAATTGTCGCGTATATTGCGTCGAATAAAGAAACTATATCTTTAAAAAAAATATGAGAGTTGATATGTATGTTTATAGCTTATATCTACTACTTGACTACTTTACCGATTTTGTGTGAAAAATCCCAATTGTTCACAAATATATCAGGAAAGTATAGAGTATAGACAGTAGCTTGAGTCGCACGTTCGATTTATACCAAGTGCTATATGAGTATACATCCAATCCGCCGCAGGTGAATTGTCGATGTCACTAAAATAAGTTCACAAAGCATTAAACAAAGTACACCAATGCCGATTTACCCATGATGTGATAGATATACTAAAACCAAGGCTTGGAAAGGACGTGTTCAAAAGAACCCGTTCCAATGATTTTGTTAAATTTTCAAGACCTTAACGAGAACCATTCTTGTGACATAGATAGATCATCAGAATAACCTGTGTTATTATTCGAGGGGTCACTCTAACATGGACGTAAATATTCGGGTAATTTGTTACTTATATTAAATTCTGAATATATGTAGGACGTAGGTAGTAGGTAGTGTTTAAAGTATGAGAAATATTTCACTAAGTTGTGAAATATTTCACAAAAACGTGAAACATTGAAATTTTTTTTAACACAAATAAAAACACAATTTATTAATTTTTTTAACACAATGTTCAGTGTTCTAAATTCTAATGTCAGAATTCAGTAAGTATACAATATACATGTATAATATTGTATACCTAATTGTATCATTTAAACATTAAAATATTTAAAAATTTTGAATACCAATTTAAATGTATAATACCAAAGGTTAGGTATACATACAGGTACCATATAGTGATGAAGGTAATTTATGACAATTATATGTAAATATAAAACTTATTTAAAAATAAAACAAAATATATTAAAATACTGAAATATTTCACATATTTTGAAATATTTCATGAAATATTTCACGAAATATTTCATTTTTTTAAATTTCATGACATTTTCAAACACTAGTAGTAGGTACTGTTCATATTATCTTTTAAAAAAGTTAACTCTGATCTGCTGTAAAATAGGTTTTGAGTAGGCCACTGTATTGGATTGGATGAATTAAATATGGATTCAATTGAAAAAAGCATTGTGTATGAAAAACGGTTCTAATCGAAGGTTTTATTGACGAAAATATTATATTTACGAAAATTAAGAAGGGATTGTGAAAGCCCGCATTTTGATTATGATCAATTTATTTCGTAGATTTTGGATTTTTTAAAAAAGTAATTTTATACTGTGAATACCGTATTTGAGGAACATATTTATATGATTGGTGAAGATTCAAAAATTAACCTAATAATAGGTTTATAATATTCGAAATTGTTGAACAGTGCACAACCCGTTAGTAATGTATTCTATATCACTGGCATTTATTTACAATATATATACATTTTTTTTCACGTAGCTTAAACCCGGCAACTGTGGCAATTAGCTGTTTTGTTTGTAGAGTTAGGAACGGTTGGTTGAAACACGTTTGTACGTGTGGCTAGGATTTGTTGCTAAAAATCCCGGGTAGTCACCCATCCGGGAGCTAGCAACATCGGCCGATACGTACACTCAGGAAGTTTCTGCAGTTGAGTGTACAAACCGCGCCACACCATGCCACGTTTGTTGTATTTATCATTTTGTTTATATTCGAAAAAGACGGCAGTCTTCGACTTCTAATACAACATTACGTCATTACAACATTAACAACATCGTCGATCGTCATTAACACTGTGATGATGAGTGTATTAAATAAATTAAATAAACATAATGTGTTGCCCGGCGTATTGTATAGGCAAAATAGGTACACTACTGCAGTGTTCAATAATATTACACATTTACACTATAATCAAATTCATCGTAATTCGCACCTTACTATAATATAATTAGGGCCGTGGCCCCATGTCTCCTTATTTGTTTTTCATAATTGTATGGCACGCAGAGAAAAAGAAATCATTTAATTTATGGCACGCAACTTTAGAAAAATTTGTTGTAAATAATTAATGCAGCCCACTGGCCACTTATACCTATTACCGAATTGAAAATACTACGATTAATAGTAAATACAACACCTAGATCAATAATAACAACCGATAACGGCAATATTGCAATAACTCCTGTTAGCCTTTAGGTGATCACATTTACAACTTTACAAATAACCTGAAAACCGAAAAACCTTAAGCTGTCGTTTACTCGTGTTATCGTTATTCGTTACTAATTGTTTATGTTGTAATATACCTAATTGCCATTTATCTGTCTAGTCGGCAGCCGTGTAGCTTGTAATGTGCACATTGTACTTGTACAAGACACAAATCGACTAGTGTATTTTATTTACACAGTACATTTACCAAAAAATTGTTTTCGTTTCGTTTATGGCTTACGTATGATTTATTTTGTTATAACTTATAAGCTTCATATTATGTATGTTTTAATTTTGATGATATATTGATACCTAATAAATTGTATCTAACCTCACAATTAGGAATAATACAATATATCACTACTGGTAATGTTGGTATCTGAAAACTGAAAAGTGTCTAAGGATTGTCAGCTCTTATATAAAACAAAATATCAAGTCTAAAAAGGTACCATCTAGTTCCATAATCATCAAGGGCCCCACCAAAAATGTTGCCCAGGGCCCCAAAATATGTAGTGCCGTCACTGTGTATATTTATTGTATAATAATACGTTCATTTATTAATTGACACATATATGTACAACAATGGAATTAGTAATATTTACATACAAATGTACATTAGGTAGGTACGAGTTTAAACTGTTAATAAAAGCTAAAATATACTACTTACTATACCTACTGACAAAAGTACACCCGAATACCCAAATAAAAAATCGTAATATTATATTTATATAGATACCTATATAATATATAATAAAATAAAATAAAATATTGAGTTTAATATAATAATTATTTATTTTATCTTGAAGATACCATTTGCTCAATTATTGCAAAAATTAAAATACAAAAAAATGTATTATTTTTAGTATTAGATGAGCAATAGTTGATCCCAGAATTCGGAATTCAGCCAGTAAAATCAGTTTGTTAAGCTTAATCGAATACGCGTGTAGGTAATCCACTATTGTAATACGGGCCATATTATTAAGTGTGTAACATAAAGTTGCTAAAATATAATATTTATATAATATTATAATAAAACTATTTTAAATTGTACCCAATTGAATGAAATAATTCTTATTTGGTAAATATTTTTTATTTTGAAGTAATAGTATCAAAAACGACAAAAATATGGCCCGACAAAAGTCGCATGGTTATTCTGCCACCAGGAGCGCGTCGTTCGATAGCAGTGCTACGTTTTACCACTTATTATACGTACTTTTCTATAAATGTACGTTTTTTTTCATTTTTTTGAATTCGAATGAAATATAAATTATGATTTATTATTTATTACCTATTCAGGTTAAAGTATACCTAAATATATAATCAAAGTTCAAAAGGTGTTTGCTATAAAAAAAGTTTTTTTTACCTGGTAATGTTATTTGCTGATGTCATAAGCCCTTTACATGTTATTAAAGAATGTATATATTTCAATAACTTATTTATAACATTCATACTCAATAAAATTGTATTAATAATGTTGCAATTAAAAAAAATTTCAGTACCATTTAAAAAAATCTGTCAACATTTAATGAATAAAGAATTGGAATAATATGAATTAATATAGAATACGATTATAGGTTGGAACAGTTTTTTATTTTACTTTTGACCAAATAATTGCTTACTTTTACTATTAAATCATTTGAAATTATTATTTTTTTTTCAGATCCACTTTCCATATTGCAAGCACTACTTCTTCATCAGTTAATCCAAACATCCATTTATTATCTGGTTTTTCTAATAGATTCAGATTTTCTTTTAAATACTGAAATGAAAATTCTTCGTTGGAATTTTCAACTGTATTTAAATATGCCTGACTCTTTTTATCACTATTTATAGACCTTTCGAGAGGAGGTTTTCTCTTAATTGTATGCTCTGTTAAATAAAATGGTAAGTTCGGAAATATAGATGGAACTGCCCCAGCTTTTAATGTGGGTCTAATTCTTTTAATTTTATTGACTGTTCCATCATTTAAGATAGTCTCATCATAAATTAGAATATCATTCTCTTTGAAATGCACTTCACACACATAACACTTTTCTGTGAGCATTTTGTCTTTCCTAGGTATAGCTCTATGCCATCTTGCTAAAAGCTCTGTGTTCTAAATATTATTTGTAACCAATAATTAAATAAAAAATGATTATTCATAAATAAGGTTAAGGTAGTATGTTTTCTTACTTTGGGTGCTTTAAACAAACTTTTATTTTTTAATCCAATTTTTTTTGATCGACATCTAAAGCATGACCAGTATTACACCCTGGCACGAAACAACAATTAACCATTTTTGATGTGTAAGAAATAAAACACAAAATACAAATTACTATTGTTTTATGTATAATTATTGTATTCAAATAAAAATAATCAAAGCAAAATAATAATAAAAAGTATTTAAAACCTTATCATTGTATGCATTGTCTATTTATAAATTTAATATTTTGATGAATAATAAATATCATGTATGAATCATCCATGCCTATGTGCAAGCCTGGATTAATGGGGGGGGGGGGTGGTCCAAGGGGGGCATAGCCCCCGGGCTTCGATAGTTAGAATTTATTAAGGGGCCTCAGATTTGTCCATTACTTTTTCCATTATAGGCTATAACACTACATTAATCACCTAAAAAAAATCGATGATTATTTAGCGAAGAAAAAAGCTTGTAAATTATAATTTATAAAAAAAGTGATACATTATTCATTATTTATTGCTATGTACCTAATGGCCAATACCCATATATATTTATTATAACGTGCACCTAATATTAAATAATAATAATAATATAATTATTTTTTTTTTTCGTACAGAGGCCTTATTTAAAATTTTGGCCCCTGGGCCTCAAAATGTCTTAATCCGGGCATGCCCATGTGTTTAATAGCTAATTATTATAATATATATTTTATTTTTATAATTGAAACCAATTTTAACCGAGATCCCCCTACTCTTGTATATATGTTTTGGATCTGATCCAGATCATAAAGTATTTGTAAGGAATAATAAATCAAGTTTAATTCGAAAAACGTACATAATCCCTATTATACTACATACTATAATATTTGTAAAACGTAGCACTGCTATCGAACGTCGCGCTCCTGTTGGCAGAATAACCGTGCGACTTTTGTAAGGCCACTTTATAAACGAGCGGCTATAGGAGTTTGGTCTCCTTATCTCTAATCTTCATGATAACTGATTATCATGATATCATTATTATTTAATAAAATAGTTTTGCACATAGACATAACCTCAAAAAGCCGCAAATCGTCTTTCTCTCTTTACTTTCTCTCTTCCCCAACAAAGTACACGGCCTCTTATGGAACTATCGAGTATCGACCAATCCATTCTTATATTATCTATGGTCTTACGTGAAAAATAACCACTGTCAATTACAAATTTGTGTTTACGCCATATAAAAAAAAATAGTGCCCTACACACGATGGCAGGTCCTCCGACGTTTATCGAACTGTCACGCGAAGAACAGGTAAGCGAAAATAATAAATAATTAAAATAAATAGTTACAACAAAAATCGGCATTACTTGCAGGTAGGTACTCGATATTCAGAGATCCGTCGAAAAGAATATTTTAAAACTAAAACGAATAGACTACCTTCACACACGTCATACGCCTGGCCAGACCTTCTCCAGTTCCTTTTGTAATGCTTGGATTTATATACATTTCCTATCAGTGATCTATAATTTTCGTTTAAATACTATCCGGGTTGGCTTAAAAAGCAAACACGACAGACCAGATGGACACTGCCTACAACTACGGTTGGAAGTCTATCGACGATATCATGGATAGCCATAGTTACTACGGTCTAATATCGTATAATGTATACTATTATAATACTTTCAACGATTGGTCTCTTTGTCACTATATATTTTCTTATGGTTCTTATCATAATTTTTGTGTTGCACCAGAACTTCTTCGTTAGCTGTCAGACATTCCCTAACAAACATGATTTATCAAAACAAATTTTGGAAAATTTAAACTTTATTATAATAATTGTACCAATGGTTAGCAACAATCAATCTCTAATTTTAATTAATAGATTATCTGGTCCAGTTATTTTTAACTCATTTAAGCCAGATTCAAGAATTTATATTTGTGCATAGATAACTGAATGTATCATATCAGGTATTAAAGTGTTTGACGTTTTTGTAAAAGTCGCCTCAAAAAAAATATTTATATAGAAACATATAGGTATTATAATAAAGTACCTTGTTGAAATTTAAAATTAATTAAGCTTTTAAAAAAATACAGTTGTTAGGTATTAGTATTAAACAATAATAACTGTTAGTTTAATACTTTAAGAAGCAGAATAATTTCTTATCAACTAGGTAATAACATTTTTGGTAACCATTCCATGACCCATGAATAACAAATTGCTTACAGACTTTGCTAAATTTATATATTGCTTCTTTTGTCAAGCTTTTCATGAACAATTTCTTTCAGCTCATATTCTTAATGTGTGTAGGTAAAAATTGAGTATATATCAAACAACATCTATAGGTACACACTCGGGTACATATGTAAGATTCTATACCTTTAATTTAGTATGATTAAGAATATATTATTAGCCTATTAGTTATGATTTTTCTAGTGTTTATTCATTTCTTTGAATTGATTCTTCATCCATTTAAATCAATTGAAATAAAAATATTGATACTCATAATGTAATATGCTATTTTGTTCACAGGCTTTAGAATTAAGGTCATATTTGCTCAGTATTGGTGCTACTTTGCAAGAGAAGGCGACAGACAACATTGAAGAAGATATGAAAGAAATCATATCTAAATGTGATGCTTGTCTAAAGACTGACTTGTCAGATGCTGATATTGAAAGCTTTTTATGTTCTATTGTATCAGTGATTATTGGAATTGGTACTATGGATGTGGAGAGTAACCTTGTTACTGCATTCAGTCAGAAACTTTCTAAGTATGAAGAAGAGCGTTTTAGCAATACCATACTTAAGACGTAAGTGAGATCACATAATATACTTAAATAATTTTTTTCATTTTCATATTTTTATTTTATATTTCAGTTTATGGCTATTACATGGTACAGTTGATCCAAAATTACCAGCACGTTTTCAGCTGTATTCAGACATAGTAGATGTGGCCAAACGAAACAAGCAGCTCTTGTTGGTATACGGAGGAATAGATAGCTTAAATAAATCTCTCCTTTCTATCAGTCATTCCAAAAAACAAAAGCAGTCTCTCCTAAGACAGTTGCACAGTGCACTGATTGAAAATGGACACAGGTCAGACATCCTTATTGGCTATTTGCTTAAGCTATTTTTTTTTAAACCAAATTAATTTACAGCTCACCCCTTTTTTCTTCAATAATACAGTTATTCAAAATCTGAGTTTTTGAATTTTTAAATATGCTCGAAGACCATATTTCCAAATTCTTGAGATTTTTTGTACTAGGTGCTTAAGGAGTGTCCTTTGGAGATACAAACTTCTGTTTTCTTCAAATGAGAACATCCCTATTCAACTTTAAATTATGCAGTAGAAAATTTTTCTGACATTTTGACAAAAGTTTGTATCGCCACAGGACACTCCTCGAGTAGTACAAAATAATTCATAAATATGAAAATATGATATTTGAGTATATTTAAAAATTCCAAAAATAAGAATTTGAATGAATTCATTCTTAAGAGGAAAAAATGGGGATGAGCATGCTCGGTGAATAACACTATATACCTATCCATTTTTTTAGTGAATTGGCTGCAGAAGTTATGATTGAACTTCTCCGCAACTACACAGCTGATGATGGTAAACAGGCTAAAGATGATGCAAAGAGGTGTATTGTCTCAGCTATTGCTGACCCTAAGACTTTCTTATTCGAACCATTGTTGAGTTTGACTCCTGTTATATCTCTACAAAACTCACCCTTGCACGAGCTTTTGGTTATATTTGTCTCTGGAAATCTTACTAACTATTTAGATTTCTACAAAGGTCACAAGGATTTAATCAAATCTTTAGGTATTACATTATCATATTATATAATATTATTTTACATCACTAATGGGCAAACTTGTACTACATTTTTCTTTAATCAAGCCTAAGAAAAAATAGTTAAAAAGAAAAATAAACATATTTTACTGTATATTTTATCTAACATAAGAAGTAACCTGAAAGGCTAGCTAGTTCACATGGGCTTTGCTTTACAACACGGGTACATGGTTGAATCGGTGGAAATGACAAATGGGTTAAGTTAAATAGGGAAGTACAGAGGGTATAAGACAATTGGGCTCTGACAGAAAACACTGTATGCAAATAAATGGCCCAATTTTTACAGACAAATTGGTTTATTGGTCTCATACAATATTGAACATTTTAGTATAATACATTAAACAATTTAAAATGAGGTAGTCGCCACACAATACTGAGAATACATTTACTGATACTGTGTTTCACTTAGTGTCACTAACAGAGTAATTTGTAATATTTAAATTATTTTTGAATTATGTATCGCTGAGAAAAATTGAAATCAATTGTATGTTTATGAAGTTTAAGAATGGTGACAGTAATAGTATACTTCATAATCCAATGATTACCTTTCGTTTCATCGTAAAAAATATTTTTATTTTATAATTTATACCAAGTATACTAATGTAATACTATGAAAGATTAATATATATTTACTATTTAGTAAATAAATGTATAGTAATGTTAAAAATAGTTTGTCCATCCCTCACATATTCATCTTGGTTTTTAAATTTAAAAAAATAAACTTGCAACATAAAATATACAATATATCATTTATATATATTTTTAGCACTAGATCATCAAGCAAATATACACAAGATGAAACTACTGACAGTTATGAGTTTGGCGGAGGACTCTAGCATCATAACATTTGATACAATTCAGCAACAAGTTCAAATAACCGCTGAACAAGTGGAACCATTTTTACTTGAACGTAAGATGACCTGGATTAATTTTCATTATTAACTAATATTTTATGTAGTTTAAGTTATTAATTTGTTTTTTGTAGTTTTTGGTACAAAATTTGTTCGTGGCCGTATGGATCAAGCAGCAAAAAAAGTGAACATTTCAAGCACAATGTACAGAACATTCAGCAAACAGCGCTGGCAAATGTTGAGGAACTCGTTCTTCAGTTGGAGATCTTGTCTAAGTGTTATCGAAGAAGGAATGAAAACTGTCGTATCAAATTCTCAAACAGCAATGTAAAAAAATACATGTGAAAAGACATGTCAATTAAATTGACATATTTATCAAAACATTTTTGGAATAAAGAAAGTTTACTCAGTAAAAACCATTGAAAATATTTGTGTTTCAGTCACAATACAATACTCTTAGTAATATAATAAATTATAGTAATAAAAATTTCTTTTATGATTAGTTATACACCAATGATATGAAGTAATATAATTTTATCACAAAAATAAAATTTTAAACTTAGAAAGTTAAATATTTGAAAAGATTATCTAATAATAATAATAAAAAAGAATTCATAAAATAATAGGCCAAACATTTAGGGGGGATCAAATGAAACTAAATTTATCTGAAAATGTAGAGAAAAATTTGTACTCAAATTAAATTCATGATAATATTGAGATCACATAAACTTCAGTAATGTGAATGAATTGAAGTTAGCATACTGCTTACGGAAACTAGTATGCATTGCATGTTCTTTGGTAACTCTGCTTCCTTATTTATGTGCGCATTAACAAAATATGATCTTTAAGCCCAATTACATGACAAATATAAATTAAAAACGAAATGCACTTGTCCTAGTAAGTAGGAAAAACTAGTTAAAGTTAAAACTATCATGGTAATAGTTCAACATAGTTTTCAAATACTAGGCCAGTCTTGCCATTTAGCGTACCCTCTAGCCAGCCTGGTTCACATGACGATCGCACTGTAAATAAATAGAGATTCTTAATAATACAAAATATACTAATGAGCAAAATTAAGTGAAATTATTCAACAAATGACAGAATTTAAACATAAAAAATTAGAAGTACCGTTTGTAATTATTTGGTTTGGCTCAAATGACAGTTCACCATAATTTTCTCCGAGACATGCATACAGTATGAACTCTTCCACAAACATAAAACGAGCACAATGTTTCAGTGTACAAATTAGAAATACAAAATAAGTAGATACTTTGGTGGTATAAAAATTGTTGAACATTAGTAAGCTAGGTACAAAGAATAAAAAAAAGCATAAATTGAAGGTAGAAAAAGCTGTTGTTAACATTTGTCAAATTTTTATAAAAAAAATCAAAGCAGGGGTGTCCAACCTTTTGGAAGGCCACATTAAGCGAGTAGAAGTCGTTTTGGGCCACATACCAATATTTTTATAATACATTTTATTTATAATTAAAAGGGAAAAAAATAATTTTTTTAAAAATAACAATAAAACTAATGAGAAATTTGAAATTCCTTTTTTTTGTAAAATGAATTAATTAATATTCGAATCAATTAAGAAGTGGCACTCCGAGTTTAATCGTCTGATCACCTGAATGGATCATTAATATACTATCGCTATCCAATTATAATAATGATTATTGATAATACATTCATATACTATTAAATTATTTTAAGGTTAATTAAATTTTATATTCATACATATATATTTTTCTCATAATAATATAATAATATGATTAATTGATTTAAGTTGGGAATACATTAAAATGTGATGTGTGTTAGGCACCCCTGGGTTAAAGTTTAAACTTCCAAAGCATACTTATGCAATTCAATGTGTATTTCTAATTATATGGTAAGTATGTTAGTTTGTAAGTATACAATTTGATTTGGTTATTAATGTGAAAAACATGATAGCAGCGTCACAGAATAAATAAATAAATTTTATTTATTCTGTGATAGCGTATAAGAAGCTCGTTTATAGTGATTATGTTTATAACATTCATTTTTACTTTATTTATTGTTATTTGACTGAGGCGAATGACAGACACTCACAAAAACATAATAAGTTCGAGTTAACTATGCTAATAATTAAATAATATGTTTTGATTGACAAAAGATAAAACGCAATAATTTCCTTATCCTTTGCCAAACAATGCTAAGTAGTTGATTTTATAGTAGAGTATAATTGACAGCCACCATGTTAATATATGTAAAAAGAAAACTAATTATATTTTTTTTTTATTCTAAAAATTTTTTTATTATACTATACATACAATGGAATAAAAAATTATCTATCTTCCGCTTATATTGAAGGTAGAAAGTTAACTATTTTTATAAAATATGTAAATTTACAATTTAATTATAGGTGATTACGTACTTATAAAACACTTAATTAAACATAGTGTTAACCTTAATGACTTAATGTTAAGTGTGACGGAGGATTAATGCGACAACCAACTAGTGACTCCAGGTACGAACCACTTATTCACAAAATTGAAAACAGCATCGTCCAAAAATATATTATTATCATTACTTAATGTTGGTACAGAGGGTACACCATATTCCTGTTCAACAAAAAAGAATCCAACACACAACATTTGAATATGTTCAGTTACCGGTTCTTTGCCATCCATAACGTCCATCCGTCATTCATAGTTTACGATCTTCTTCGGACAATGCTTGAAATGTATATACATCACTCCAGGCCTTAGAAACAAAATAAAAAATATTAAGAGAACGCCACACCCGCATGTGTTGTCTCCGTCTTACAAATGTACAACATAGCAAAAACTCTTTTGCGAGGGACAACTTTTCTCGCACCATATTTGTTGTAGAACTACCAAATTTACACAGCACTTAAAGAAGAACTTTATCTGTGCAACAGCGTGTTCTTTTTTTCAATAACATATATACAATACAAGTTATTTGCTTCTAAACATTTTGTTTTTTAATTTGCTTATAAAAAATGATTGGATGGTGCTATTGAAAAAAGAGCACGCTGTTGCACAGATAAAGTTCTTCTTTAAGTGCTGTGAAAATTTGGTAGTTCTACAACAAATATGGTGCGAGAAAAGTTGTCCCTCGCAAAAGAGTTTTTGCTATGTTGTACATTTGTAAGACGGAGACAACACATGCGGGTGTGGCGTCCTCTTAACTTGCACATAATGTAACGGTAATCTCAATAATAAATCAGTAATAAATTTGTTTCCAGGGAAGTATTGGATAAAATGAGACTTTTTGCTAAGGAAAGGATGATTTATATATTGAAAAAGGAATTTAAAGGGGAGAACATAGATTAATATCATACTAACATTATTGCAGGATAGATTATTAAAGGACTTGTATGATGCACACATTCAAGATGTAAAACTTGGAGAGAGCTTATTTTTCGGTGGCTCAACTCGGTTAAAGAAATCGTAGAATATGTAAAACGGTGTAAACTTTGTTAGGTTAGGGACATTTTTGGTAGGGCCAAACCTTCCTCTGGCCAAGTTAGTTAAGTGGTAAGTACATATTCCTAGGACCTGTATAATCAGGTAAAAATGTTCTTAATTTCGTGTTGCGACCGATGCTAAATTCGCATAGGTTACAAAGTTAAAGATATTTTTGCTAGGCAATAAATAGCCCACGGGCCACGGTTGATACCTACTTTGTTTCCTCGGAATTTTGGAAAGGTTGCTATCGTAAAAGTGTAAAAGCCGTAACTATCAAAACCCCCATATATCATCATTCATCAGTATACATACGAAAAATGCAGTAAAAGTTTCAATGCATGTCTGATTAAATGTATGAGTAGTAATGACAAAGGCGAAAGGCATGTCATTTAATTTATATTCTACAACAGAAACACACTGTTTTCGGTTATTGGAAGATTGTCCAAATAATTGTACTTTAATTAGCCATTAGTTATATTTTATTAGACAGGTAACCTATACCTTATTTAAGCCAACCTGTAGCTGTATCGGTAAATAATTCGTAGTCGCAGGATATATTCTAATGTTCTGCATGTATACAGTATACTACGTTTAGATCTTTTAATGTTTATGTATATTCATATAGGCGTAGGGCGGTTAAATTTTTTGGGGGGGCTTTAGCCCTTCCTGGGGCAACCAGTATACATCTGCAGATATATACATCATAAAATACAAATAATGTGTGACAATCTAAGGTTTTATTAAAATATTCCATTTTTTTTTTTTTTACTTATAAAATTAAACGTCTATTTTCTTTAGAGTATATCTCTAAAATATCATCAGAATTAATGCTATTTGACATATCTCTTTCTATATTGATAAAAGCTAAAGACGAAAAACGATCATGACTCATGGTGGAGCGTAATAAAAGTATTAATTCTTTGCATGGTTGAAAAAGACCGTTCACAAGATGCTGAAGAAATTGGTATGCTTAAAGTTCAGTAGTTTGTACACATTGGGAAATGTTTCAACTTTAATAAATTTTTGATATGAACTTATATACAGTATATAATTCAGGAATTGTAGATATGCGAGTGCGATGGCGGTTCGTGTGATCGATAAAATCTTTAAGATAGTTTTATAAGATATATCCTATCTAAATAGTAAATTCTAGATACTATCTCATATTATTATGTTTTTAATTCAATACTAAACTTGTTTATGCACACTAATCACTAATGTATTATAAAAAAGAAAACTATTAAAGGGTAGGTAGAATTAGTTTTGCCGTAAGGCGCTTGTTGGTAATACCTTTTACATAATACGATTTCATGTAATATGTTTAATAGATTTAATGTGTGTTTTTTTTTTTGAATCGGTCTACACGATAAGTAGTAGGTAGTCGAAATAATGCTTCGATTTTAAACTTCAGTATTTTTTCCGGTGGGAAAGTGAATCATCTAGTTGGTGAATTTGGGAGGTCAAAATTCAAAGTAGTTTTAAAAAGTGCCGTGAAAAAATATAAAGAAAAAAGGTGGACAAGTTGGTGTCCCTCTGCTGTACAAGTGGGTCACTGTAACGAATGGTGTTAAATTTGAATTCAATGATATAATATCATTAAGTATACGAAAAATAATTCTGAGCGAAGATGATCAGTCAGCCTATGATATAGGTTACTAAGTATATTTGATGATAATATTATGAATAAAGTAATTTATTTACCTATTTACGTGAAACCTTGTTTTAAATTTTCAATCTTTATAGCTATAAAAGTTGAACATTTTATAAATTTTTAAATACAAAATCATTTTTATATTTGATAAATTTTGTCAAAATTCGAACTTTAAATGATTATAAAAAAAAAATGTGAGTATATATTTTAAATATTGCTATTGTAACAATATATCAGAAGCCTTGTATTAAATTATCATGCTTTTTTACCCAACAAATAACATTTTATTGACATTTATAGGAAAAAAATTAAAAATGTCCGTAAACAGCTCAAAATATTTTTAATTTTACCAATTATAGGAATCGATAAAATAACCTTTTGGTGTAAATTTAAAGTATCTATAGACTACAGAGTACAGTTACCTATTCCTTTTTTAATTACAGCAAAATAAGAAAATCACTACATGAGAAATCGAGTGAATATCCAATCTAAAAATTTGAACTTCATACGTTCATACAAATTTAATTTGACTTTCAGGTGGTCATTTTTTTTTGATAAAGGTAGACTAACTTATAAGTAATTTTGAATAAAATTTTTAAATCTTGGATTAAAAAATAAAATATTTTATGAATTTTTAACTCAAAATAATTGACACATTTTCGTGATTTTTAAGTATTTTATTAAAATTCGAATTTCAATCAATTATAAGAATTTTCCACCAATCAGCTACTACCTATATACCTATACCTATTTAGGTGGGGGGGGGGGGTTGATAGGGTGTATTATATCGATCAAAACACACTTTACAGGAAACTCTCACACTCTAACAACTCTAGATTGGTCCGATTTCCGTAATTTTTTTTTTTGTTAGATACCTACCTAGTAGAATATTTTTTGCAGGGCGCATTGGATTTCGATTTTTGTTTACGTTGCTAAAAACAAATAATAATACAAAAACTAAAAAGTTGTAAAAATGGATTAAATTCAAACTTGTAATATAAGATTTCGAAAAATAATTTTGAAAATCCAGGCATGTTTTTGAGCAAAAACACAGGTAGCGCGCAGGCCCCTTAATCAAATAAAAGATTTCTACCGGAAAGTAAAATTAAATTGTTATGAGCGTTTTGAAGTTCAAATTTTTACAATACTGGAAATATTCATCACTTGATTTATCGTGGAACGATTTTCATATTTTGTTGTTTTTACACCATATTTTTATTCTACCTTCACACTTTTTCTTCCCCCTTCTCTCACAACTATTCAGGTTCAACCTCTCTCATCCCACACCTCCATATGATCACAGAACAATATGATCGGTATTCTGCCTATTCATAGGTTAGGACATTATCATTTATCATATCTCAATATGTTCTGTAATCTACGAACTGATATTAATATATTAAAATGGTTTGTTGTAAACATTTTCTGATTTTCATAAATTAAAACATATTATTATTATTTTATCTTAATGTCAATTCGTTCAGTCACTTTAGTTTTCGGAAAATGGTACCTTCGGTAATAGCAGTCTTGCCTACATTATAGTGTTCATCCAAAGAAAAACAATGGTGTATTTTTTAAAATTATCGCAATGAAGAGTATAATATTTTGAACGAATATCTCCCACATAACAATGGGAATCTATGGTGTGTACATTGTATCAAAATCAGGTGGGCTGATATTCAATTACGATTACACCGTGCCCAAAATCGAAACTGAACAGACATTTAGTTATCCGCTAGATCTAAAACTATCTTGTGAAAACAACAGACTATTAGTCTCATTCGGTCAAAGAGACAACATCAAAGGTATTGAACTTTTCAAAAGATAATTAAAATTTGACATATATTTTTAAAAATAGATAAACATCCAAATATATTGATCTTTAGATGTTTATCTATTTATATTCAATATATTAAACATATATGTACTGATCAATACATGTTTTCAAATTAAAATAAGTGATTTTGTATTTTCAGTCGGTCATGTGTTATTAGCAATCAACGGAGTTCCTGTTTCTGGAAGAAAACTGGAAGATGGCAAAGACGCAATAGAAATGTTAGATGATGTAACTAATTATCCACTTAATTTGAAATTTGGTCGTCCAAAAATGACTATCAATGAAAAGATATTCTTAGCCAGTATGTTTTATCCATTATTTGCTATTGCATCACAATTGAGTCCAGAACCCAGGAGTTCTGGAATTGAAACTTTAGAAGCTGATACATTTAAACTCCAATGTTTTCAAACTCTGACCGGTACTGAAATACCTAATACAATTTTATAAATTAATAAATTTCATCAGTGAACTAACATTTGAATATTTCAGGAGTGAAATTTATGGTTATTGCCGATCCAACACATGTAGGCCTCGAACAACTTTTAAAGAAAATTTATGAGATATACGCTGACTTTGCTCTAAAGAATCCATTTTATTCCTTAGAAATGCCTATTCGATGTGAATTGTTTGATACTAATTTACAAGCACTTTTGGAACAAGCGGATAAAAATGGTATTAATAGCATTTAATCTAATAGGTACTTTATTTTTATCTATACTTATTTGTATTTTACAAAATCCTTTTGTATTGAAAACTAAAAATCATAGGCAAATATCATATTTATATTGTATTGTTTAAAATTATTAAAACTATTATTTGAATTATAATTCAAACATTGTAATATTATTATAAGCCTAGCCTAATATTCAACAATGTTAAGAAGTTATAATTTACAATATTATAATTAATAAATAAAGTTTATAATATGTAATACTTTAAATTATTTATTTTATTAATTTTATTGTAAATAGTATAAGTAGATAAAATTTATTTTACCAACTAACAATATTATTTTCAATAGTTAATTGTCATTTAACACTCAAAACCATAAAAATCAACATTTTTCTTAATAGTTTGATTATTAAGCTGTACTTAAAGACTAGTATTCTATTACTGATTAATACTAAAATTTTTTCACATTTATATAAAAAAAATTAATTAATTTTATTAATTCGGCATATATTTTCTGAAGTGTTATCATTTAAGTTAATCTGTTTATATTAAACACACTTCTCATTAATACAAGTTATGACTATACCAGTGGTCGGGAGTAGTGCTCTAATTGTAGCGACGCTATAGTAGCACGCTACTTTACATTACGCCTTAGATAGCGAGCTAAACATTTCAGGTTAGCATAGCAAAAATTATCATTATTTTGTAGCTACCTACAATTTAATTGGTGATTATTAAAATATCAATTATGATTATATTTGTTTATTTATATTATGATAATGAGTGTATCAGTAAAGTTTTTGTCCTGGATCCAGTCCAGTGACCAAATGTCAAATCAGTATAAACTACAAACACTAGTTTTCAATAAGAACATTTTTAAAAATGTAGCGAAAAAGTAGCAGGCTACATTTAGACAATAGCATTAGAAGTACTGAGCTACATTTAAAAAAAGCGATAGCGAACTATTTTTTTTGGAGAGTAGCTGGAGCGTTAGCACACTACAAAAAACCAGAAGCGTCCCGACTACTGGACTACACTCACGCTTTGCAACATAACAGCAAAAATTGTATTGGTGATTTAGTGAGACCATTTTAATTAAAAAACAAAAAAACTATACACAATATACCTTTTAACTATCTTAAGTATTTTAAAGGGTTAGGGTGTACTAATGATAAATGTATACTTAAGTCTTTAGATACAAGTATAGATAAGTATATACTCCGGCCCACGAGAGTCCATACGTCGACCGCGCATCGATATAGTAATACGCGACGTCTGTTTTCTCCCACCATGATGTCATTCCCACTATTCGGCAACATGCAGATGCGCAGCATCAGACGAGTTTTAACTGACGTTCTCTCGTGGACTGGAGTATAGATAAGATCATAGATAAGTCAATGATTTTTGTATACTTAAAAATGAATATAGGTACTTTTGAAATTGTATGTCTATCTCATACGTTTGCATATTTTGAATTGTATATGCTATTTAGTGTCCATTTCAGTACCGTAGCCTTCAACACATTTGAGTACCATGACACAATGAACAATTCTAATGTAATATTATTCAAATTTTTTTTTTAACTTAATATTTTTTTCTTCATAATTTAGTATTTTTAGAGCATTTTTAAGCATTTATACAAATGATTTTAAGAGCATATTATTGAGCTTATAACAACCATTATAAGAGTTTTAAGTTGTACGTAAGCTCTGGTTATTATTATTGTTTATTATATGCGGCCATCTATTCTATTAGTTTACCATTATAGAATACATGGCCACATACCTTTGGCAGTTCGAGGACCTTTTAAACAGAAAATTACTTTTAAATTTTTTGTCCTAAAAAACATTAAAAACAACATAATAAAGTACATATTCTATATTTAACATTTTAGTGCGGTCGTATAACATTGATGATTCCAAATTGAACCAGACTTGGTCCATTCGTTATATTCTACTTTTCCATCGTGGTCCAATAGTATTATTGTGTGTGTTCTAAAATCAAACCTTTTTTTAATTGAAAATCTTATTGTAGAATTGAATTATATAATAAATAATCACAATAATTTACCGAGTTCCGTATTGTCGAGTTGGCATTTCTACAAAAATGGAACTAAATTTCTTCTGGTTATCAGTTCCAGGGAATTTTGGAGTTCGTTTGATCAACTCTTCATCAGGATAATGTCTACAAAAGGTTTAAATTTAGTTTTTATTTCTAGCATATTTGATTACTTTTATTTTTTCTTACAGTTTATCCCATTTCAAGACTCCTAGCAGTTCTTTGATCAATGTATCTTTATTATGACTATGTCCATATTTCTTAACAATGTCATTGAAACGTTTCTCTCCCTCTGCCACTTTTAAAAATGGTCCATTTCCAAATCCTTGTACATCTTTTTGTAGGTGTTTCATAGTAGGTCCTCCATCTTGTACAAAATTGGTAAAGAAATGTGTTTCTAAAGATAATTTACTTCAAACACAGATGAAATATATAAATATAATGGTATAATACATAACGTGTTTCAAACGGTTTATGCTAACCTCATGGTAATAGTGATCAGTTTAAATCCATTATACACATTTTGCGATCCTTGCAATTCTTGCAAATATTCTAGGGCTGAAGAATTGCCTTTAACAAAGTTCTCAACCAGTTGGCCTCTTGATTTAGCGTTTGGTATTTTGTCTAGTTCAAACACATTTAATAGAGCAGCCAACTTACCACGGATATTAAGAGCCAACCAAGTGCCACCCTCATTTGATGTCGCCAAATCACGTCCTGCAGATTAAAGCGTTCAAACTGTTATGATATAAAAAAACATTTATATGATAATTTTTTTACCTCCAATGACGTCCTGGTCCTCTGTCCAATAGTTTGCTGGCAACGTCTGACGGTTATAATATTCATCTCGGTTAGATGCAACAATCAATCGATATCCACCATTAATGTGTTGTGCACTACTAATGAATATGACACACATAATTTTGCCAAATACCAGGTATTTGAAATCTACGTCTAATTGATTTAAATATAATATTTGTATCTTGTAAAAATTAAAAGATTCAGTTATAATGTTCAATACAATGTCAAGAAGAACGATTAGCCCAAGAAGGTATAATCATTAAAATGCATACACAGATATAATACAACTTATAATTTACGACTAGAAATTAGAATAATAAAAATTAAATTAGTTTTGAACTTTTGAAGTGTTTTATCAATTGTTAATTTGCTGTGATACTGTTGTAATTTATAAGGTTTACATAGGTGATGGTGTTCTTAATTATTATTATAGGTATTATTAATTGATATACCATCTTTTTTATTTATCACGAATCCCGATTCCTTTTATGGCAATTTCCATCACTCATAATATTGAAGAACAGTAGTGACTACTGATAACAAGTTCTTAATTAGTGTAGAAGATAAATTATTAATATTATACAATATAAGCATTTAAGTACCTAGGTACTAAAAATATATTCATTAATTCCTTTAAAGTTTACAAAATACAAACTTGAAATTGTATTCAAGGACCTATTAATCAAAAATACACAAATTATTTTTAAGTATCATAATTCATTAATTTTCTAGAAACCTTACACGTTGATAGTTGAAGTGAAAATAACATTTTTTTAATTTGTATTTTTTGGAAACTTATTTCTGTTGTATAGTGTTGTATATTTAAAAAATAAATAATGTTTAATTATTTTAATTCATACTTTACATAGGACCAACATTTACAAATTACCACCGTTGAAGTATAAAGTAGTTTTTAACCATTCACTGTTGTACTATTGCACCTTCTTTTAGCTAGCATGTCTTAAAATACTAAACTAAAAACATTAGAAATGTAATTATTTATATAGCAATAATTTATTAAACCATGAATATACCAAGTGAAATAAATTATCATAAACATTTTTTGTTGTAGACATTTTCAAAAAGTTGAAAATTATGAAAATGTTGTAATTTCTCATCAATTAAATCTCTTGATACTCTAGTTATAGTATATTTAATTTATATATATATATTATATTTAAAACCGTGAACTTGTATTACCTTTCACCCATTTTAACATTATTCTATTAAACACAGTATAGGAAATCCAAATTATTTTATCTTTGTAAAAAATGTGTATTTTTATCTAATATTAAAAAAATTTTATTCTTACTTCAATATAAATGTTGAATGTATAAACTAATTGTTTACCTACATTTATTGATGTTTCCATTTTTTGTTTGACTTATTTCCACTATTTTACACCAACTACTTTTAATGAGTGTTATTACAAATTACATTTTAGTATTGAACCTAGTTTTAACACTACACCATAAGCAGTCTTGTTAAGTATTCAAATACTTTTCAAATACTTTTTGACCAATATATTATAAATACTTAAAAATTACTTTTTAATTGTATTTTTACTCTAGAATACTAAATACTTTAGTCAATACATAGTTTAACATGTCTTATGTGACACATAATCATAAATGTATAATGCATACTGACGTAAGTATATTCTACCTGACAAATCTGTGATTCAGTTTTGAAATTTTAAATACTTACAAATATATACATATATTATATTGACAGTATACATTATATATATTAGCTATAGCACCAGTAGTAATTATCAGTATGTATACTAATATTATTGTATTTAGGATTAACTATTCATTATTCAATTCAGGAAAAATAAATTGAAGAAGTCTGCAAAACACGTTTAAACATTATTCATATTTTATTTAAATTGTATATTGTAGAAAAATACAAAATGCATATAGGTACATTACTATGGTTTATGTTACTTAAATACAATTTTTAATTATCCAAAATCAAAAATGAATCAAACTATTTAGTTTTATATTTAAAATCTAAACATCTATTGTTTCTTTCACTAAACATTTCAATTACTTTTTTATTAAAATCAGTATCATCTGAAATCATTTTGTTTTCAATATTTAACATTGTTAGAGCATTTAATTTTTCTTCAACCGTAGTGTTTCCTAGGCAAGTCTTAATCCTTTTTAAAGTTGAAAAACTGTTTTCTTGTCCAGTGGTCATTGGAGGAACTGTTATTAATACTCTTAATAGCAAAATCACTTCTTTAAAAGTATCAATCATATTATTCTTTAAAATATATTGATGTGTTGGAATAATACCGGACAAAGTACGAAAATCATCTCTAAAATACATGACATCTAGTTCAGTTTTCAGTCTATCTTTATCGAAAAATGGGTAACAATTAAACGTACAAAGAAGTAATTGAATTGGAAATTTTTTCGTATACACAGGGTATTTTTCAGCTTGAAATAGCTTAACTGCGGTCAAGTGTTTAGTGAACTCTAAGCGATCTTTAGTTGTATCTATTAAAGTATTACAAATGTCAATAGCTGATTGTTTTCGAGATTCATTTTCGTGGTTATTAAAATTATTGTAATACTCGGAACGTTTTCTTTTAACATTTACGTCCGGCAAGTTCGAAGAAACTTCAATAATATCGGGAACTTTATTACGTATGTCAGATATTTGTCTTTCGAACTGTTGAACCAAAATCGGTATACGTTCGTCAGCAGAGTCGTCCAATGCGGCGGTATACACTCTGTCGTGCAGACTGTAGACGTTTGGCATTATTTCATAGAAGACCGCCAACCACACTACGAACACCGAATCGCTCAGTAAACGTTTTATCGATCCCGCCTGTTTAATTGTCGACGTCTGTTGCGATGTATCTATTATAATGTCCATACAGCGCATTATCTCACTTCGATACTTGTAAACAGTGTTCAGAGTGCCGCTCATCGCGGTGAAATTGCACCCGGTCCGCGATGACCGGTTGCCCGTTATTCCGTCTATCATTTGCGGCGAGTTTGAAATAAATTCAGTCATGTCCGACAAATCCGAAAAGAACATTTGGACTTCTTTGTTCCCCGAAATCGCCTGGGTCATTTCTACGTGCAACTGGTGCGTGTGGCAATGCATATAGTACGCGTACGGGTACATTTCCTTAACTCCGACATTTACTTTACTCATAACCGCTGCACCGCCGTACGATTGAGCTACTATTTTGTACGGCGCGTCTGTTAAGACCGAGTTCACTTCGGACATTATTGCCTGCGACAATGATCTTGCATCGCGTCCGTTGGCAGCCTTCAAAAACCCCCAAAAACGTTCGACGGGGTTACCTTTTAATTCATAGCGGAACAGTATAACCAAATGCACTGTGTTTGAAACATGGGTGGTCCCGTCGACAATTATTGAAATGAATTGAACCATTTCCATTTCTGATAAGATTTTCTGACGGGCTACAAGAAATATGCAGTCCAATAAATCGTCGTATATGGTCATTGAAGTCCAATCTATGCTAGTCGACTTTTCTAAATAGCACCGCAGACTTACGTCACAACCTTTGCATAGTTCAACAGCGCCTAGGAATTCATCGTAGTTGTTGTCGGAGGTCATTGCATTATTGTCACCGCGGTCCTTCAGTGAAACGTTATATTTCCCACAAAATTGTACACATTTGAGATATTTTTCTAGAATATAACGATTTTTTTCGATTTGCTCGTTGTGGCGTTGTATTTCTATTTCATAAAGTTTATCAGCTTCGTCGCTTACAGTACCATTACCGAGTACTTTAAGGTTAACTTCATTTTGCAAATGATCAAATGAATTTTGGTGTTTTTTTATTTTCGACGATAAATGGCCCAAGTGTTTTACACCACAATCAGTCCACGAAGTTTCATTACCAAAACATAAACACGGAAAACAAAACAATGCTTGTTCGACTTCGCACCCGCACAACCACGTGTGTTTTTTGTAGGTATCCATATGAAAATGACGAGTGTATTCCTTGTTGTCTTTTTTCGATTTTGAAACGAGACCTTTTAGGTCTGGAGTAGGTCTTCCTAGTTGCTTTATTGCTATTTGCTCTTCATAAGTCAACGTAGAAAATGGATTGCGGATCAGATATTGAACGGAATTTTTACTCATCGACGATTCCATGTTATGTTCCATGTTATGTTATTATAGTAGGTTTAGTATTAAAGTGGGTTAAAAAAAAATGTTTACATACCTTATAGCTACGTTGCATCAACAAAACATATTATATAAATTAATATTAAGTTATTACTTATTATATTATTATCGAGTAATATAAGTATGGACACAAGTCGTAATGGCACATTTAAGTATTTGAGAAGGATTGATTCATCCGGTTGACCGTTACATCCATATTGTTCGCTGCAGACTGCAGTCCTTAGGGAATACAGGCAAGCATGCGGGCGATTAAGTCGATTCGCCGACGGTGTTATTTACAATCGTTTCCCCTTCTCCGATTTGTATTCTTTATCACATATTCACATCGACATTCGACATCAGCAGGTCTCTCTATAATATAATAATTAATACGAACCATTTTTATAATATTATTACAATTTACAAAACGAAGTACAAACATTTAAAAATATTACCTATACGGCTATACCTATAAGGCTTATTGCTAGTTATTTCACTTTTTATTGAAATTGTCATTAAAGAGCATAACGACGAATAAATTGGCAAAAAACTACTAATTTATTAGGGAAATAGTACATATTATAAATTATAATAGTATCTATTAACTTGATTTTCATTCTGAATAAATATTCATTATCTGAAGCATTAGAACATGAACAAGCTAGGTGGGAATGACCTATCCATATTTTTATTTTCGTCCTTTGAATAATTAACGTAATTAAAATATATCAAGTTATAATATTTAATCAAGTGAAAATATTTTTTAAAACATTAATTTGTAAATTATGAAGAATATTTTTTCAGAATGAAAATCTGAGTATTACGAGTTTATGACATTTATAACGTATTATTGGAATTAAAATCGTCCGTTTAAGTGAAAAATAAAATATGATTCCACGTCCACAGAATAGATTATTGACAATATTATGACATGTACCTACGGTGTTCATAAAATTGTCCACGGCTCACCATCCGTTTACCTATGCCCGCAATCCGCATAATTGTATTATCTCATTAATGATAATTTACGTCTAACAACAACAAACAACATGGCCAACATGTTCCTTAAATTTTAGAATCTTGTACCGACGAGCAGTGGCGATAATATTATAATATTCAGTATTAAATATAAATATACCTATTTGAATCACGTGATTAAACAATTGGTGGAGGGGTGTCCCGTGATTGGTACTCTGGTTAGGCGATAAACCCAATAAATTGTATTTAATTTTAATTTTCATAAATCATAAATAAATAATCCAAATAGTTATTGACAGTATAATATATATATATATACTTATGTCCAAAAAAACTGGATACCTAAACTATATTACTATGTTACCTACATTACTCAGTACCCTATACATATTTTAGAATTCTGTCTGCGGGAGATTTATGATCCAATAGTCTAGTTTCATGTCCTGCAAACAGAATTCAAAAATATGTATAGGGCAGTGCTGGTGGTATTTCAAATGTTGATACCGGTGTACGGTATTTTAGGTATTACCGATTCACGGTACACCGGGGTATTCTTAAAATACCGAAATACCACCAGCAACACAGTGGTCGGTTGGTAGATTATCTTTAAGCTATCTATAAGCTATCTATAGCTCCAACGACGTATATTAACATAATAAAATACTTGCTAAAAATAAACAAACTATGGTATATAGCTATAAAATTACGAATAGTAATTAAACCAACCATAACAAAAGTAGGTATCTGTTAATTATCATTGTATTAAGAGGACGTGATACCCGCATGTATTGTCTCCGTCTTAACGTCTTGGGGTGCGTAACGTAGCAAATTCTACGCAAAGCAGAACACGTGTAGCTCCGTTAGTTTAAAAATTAAAGTGAATTTAAATCTTATAAAATCTAAAGGTAAGATTATTATCTAGACAACCCATGGGCTTTTTATTATATTTTAATTTTGAAGCGAGCTATGAGTATTTTAAAATTGTAAATTGTTTATAGAACTTTAACTACTCATAACTAGCTTAAAATCTAAAATATTAAAAAAAGCCCAAGAGGTCGTCTAGATAATAATTTTACCTTTAGATTTTATAAGATGTTAATTTACTCTATTTTTAAAATTAACAGAGCTACACGTGTTTTGCCGAGCGTACAATTTGCTATGTTATGCACTTGTAAGACGGAGACAACACATGCGGGTATCACGTCCCTCTTAATATACTTAGTTAGAATGTTATCAAACTATCAGTATAATATTTGAAATATGATTCAAAATATTAAAATATAATAATACTTCTGACTTTCCAGTTTCATACAAAAAGGAACCCAAAAATGTTTATATTTAAACCTAAAAACTAATTAGTAATTACTAATTATATTAATATTATAAGATTTTGGTTTAAAAACATTCCTAACATTTGAGAAACGATAAAAATTTTTTTGGTGGGTAATAGAAATCTGTATGATTAATAAATATTAAAATATGTGATGAATTTATGCAAAAAAAATCCGTTGTTAGAGCAGCCACTGACCAAGAGGCCCTATATCTAAACGGCCAACAATTATTGATTTATTTGATTTGTGAAATATTTTTTATTGATGCACGAGGGCAATAGGTTACTTACAATATAATTTAACCTACATTAAATTGATTTACAATATACCTATATCTAGTTGTTTTATATTGGAGTAAAAAAATGTAAAACTGTTAATTTCAAAGTTATTATTTACTAACGTACCTAACATTATTATAATTAACATTTAAATTTAGTAATTAATATATAATATATATATATAAATTTAATGTATATTGTATTTACTATTTATATATGTGTTATCTATATATTTTCTATATATTATCTTATATTCTATGACTAAAACGAAAAATACTCAATGGATTTTAGCAAAGGTGCAGGGCATTAACTTGTTAAAAAGTTAAAGTTAAGTTAAAAAGTTAATTTTTTAACTTTTTAACATAACTCGTTAATTATTTTTATTTTTAACTTCTTCACTTATTCAGTTAAAATGTTTAATGTTGTAACTTTTTATAGTTAATTATCATTTTCGTGCAGTTAAGTAAATTTTATTTTCGTGCCATGCGTAATCAACTAGACATAGACATATACTGATTCATTGACACTTTTTCAATTTTGATAATTAATTTTCGAATTAAATTTTATAACAATCTAATTTTTTACACAATGTTAAAAGTCTTTGTAAATGTTTATGTATAACAAAATACTAGGGCAGTTATTATGACTTAAAATTATAACTTGAAAAAAAAATTAACTTTTTTTTAACTGAGTTAAGTTAATTTTATTTTCTATTTTAACTTTAAACTCATCTAGTTAAATATTTTTTTTTTGTTACCTATTTTTAACTTAACTGAACTACTGAAGGCAATTTAATTTAATTAACTTAACTTGCCAAAATTAATTATTTTCATTAACTTGTCCACCTTTGGATTTTAGTACCCATAGTTTTCACTAAAATGGATTAGTCAAGTCTCGGGAAAAGTATATTATTTATTATGCATACCTACGTCTTAGAAAAATTAATTGGATTGCCAAAAATAATAAAAATAATCTATATAAATAAAAATAAAATGTTGTTGGTAATCGCATCATTTGGGAACAGCTGGACTGATACGGTTTATTATAGTCATTTTAAATCTGAGCGTATGGCTTCATGTATTGGTTTTAGAATGATGTGTGTTTTTTTAACATAATATGCTGAATACACGTTTTTGTTTTTCTGATTCATTTTTCGTAAGGTTTTCGTTACTTAAAAACAAAAACATACTTAAGATTCTTAAATTTTCCTTGTTGAGTTGTGGAGGAAAAATATCGAGTAGCGTGCTACTTTTTCTGTGTAATCAACTTTTGTGGTACCTATAGTAAAAATGCTCTTATAATCGATAATCTGATAGACAACGGAAACTAATTGATACTTTTGAGAGGTCTAAGTTGAAAATTCTCAGTAGTTTTCGAAAGCGTTGGGAAAAACAAAACAAATTCAGGAAAAAATGAATTTTTTAAGCAAAATCAGTTTTTGGAAAAATCTATTTTATTTTGGTCAATTTTAGTCGATTTTATTTTAAATTTATTTTAAACTTAAATATGACAAGTTTACATAGGGCATGATGACATTTTCAAAATATTTTGATTACTTTTGTTAGTCATTTTATAGCCATCTTGAGAGATTTTCAATTGTTCAAAGTTTTTATTTAATTATTGTCGACAAATAACTATATATCTAAAAACTTGAAAATATAATGCAAGGGGTTCCACATAAATTATTAATAATGTAATTTAAAAAAAAAGTTGGCCATAAATCCATAGTAAATTTTTATGATTGTCTGATACTCTGATGTTAGTCTCGATGAGTCACATAACATCCATGAGAAAATTTCCAATTTTAAATTATTGTCAATAAAGTTGACTAGGTTTTACACTAGGCAAAAAAACTTAAAATTGATTTCAAGCTTCCTCATAAATTGTTTTAATAGTAGTTCAAAAATATTAAAAATACATAGGTAGATACAATTATTTTTTATATGAATTTAAAGTTAAAATGTTGCTAACGTTAAAATATGGATGGTGTTAGATCAGTGGCGTAGACATGATTTCTGAAAGGGGATCAAAAAAATATCTAATTGGGAGGGGAAAATTGGAAAATCCCTAACCTCTCAAAACTTTATTTTATACTTTGTATACGCCGCTGTGTTAAATTTGAATTCAACGATAATTGTATACCAGGTGTCCCCAACCTAATTTGTCGGCCACATTCGAAATTGATATTTATTCTTCGGGCCGTATATATTTCAGGGTTTTTTTTTGAAATAAAATTACAACTTTTTAAAAACCAAATATTAAAGGGCAATTTTTTTACATTTTAAAAGGTGTCAAGAAATTAAACAAAACTATTTTATTGACTTTTCGACAAATCATTTTGTGAGTATGTTGGAACAATAATTGTCAATAGAATTTGAAAACCGTGTTCAAGATTTCAAAGCACATATGATTT